CAGTGCCTGGTGCCCGACTTCCTGCCTCCCATCGAGGCCGCCGACTTCAGTGAGCGCCTGGGGCGGCAGCTCGTGTGCCTGGAGCGCGTCACCTGCTCAGACCTGGGCATCAGCGGCACGGTGCGCGTGCGCAACGTGGCCTTCGAGAAGCAGGTGGCTGTGCGCTACACCTTCTCGGGCTGGCGCAGCGCCCACGAGGCCGTGGCGAAGTGGCGGGGACCGGCAGGCTCCGAGGGCACCGAGGACGTCTTCGCCTTTGGCTTCCCGGTGCCGCCCTTCCTACTGGCGCTTGGCTCCTGCGTGCACTTCGCGCTGCGCTACCGGGTGGCCGGCGCCGAGTACTGGGACAACAACGAGGGCCGCGACTACAGCCTCACGTGCCGCGCCCACGCACTGCACATGCCCCGCGGGGAGTGCGAAGAGAGCTGGATCCACTTCATCTGAGCCGCGGGGCCAGGGCCCTCTGCACCCAGGCCTCGCCTGTCGTCACCGCCCAGCTGGGCTCTCCCAGAAGACGTGGTTGCTCTTTCCTGCGCTCCACCCCCAAAACTAAGTCGTCTGACCTCACGTCCCGCTGCAAGAACCACTTGCAGTGGCCATCCTGTCATCTACTTGAAAGTCTGTGCCACTTGGTGTAAAAAGTAACCTTATGTGTCCAGAAAGCCGTCCGTGTGTGTAATGTGCTGGATGGGGGTGGCGGGGAGGGTGCTGGGTGGGTAGATGTATGTGAGGGTTGGGTCCTCTGGACAGGACCCAGCAGGGTTGTGTTTTGTTTTGGTTTTTGTTGTTGTTGGAAAGGCCTGCATCTTCCTGCTAGGAAGGCCTGTGGCTTTTGCATGTGCCCTGATTGGGCCTCTGTAAACGTCGGTGTTAGTTATAATATTATTATTGTGATGCTGGGACCTTTACCCTCAGTGAATGCCTTCTCAGGAACATTCTCATTTTAATATGCTAAAAAAAAAAATCATCCTTGTGTATTTGTGCCCAATGTAAACAATGTAATGGGGTGACCCCCATCATGATCCCTTGAGGCATTCCGGCCCTGGGACAAGGAAAACCTGAGAGCACCTTTGCTTGCCAATGTATGTGGACTTCTCACAGTGGGAAACTATTAATAGGCAAGAAATTTATGCCTCCTCAGTCATCACACAATCATTCCTAGGAGTTCAGCTGCTCTGGTTCGGCTGTGTGTCTCCATCACAGCTGAGAAAGAGGAAAAGCTTAAAACTTTTAAACTAGCAAAACAGCGCCTTCTGGGAGTTTCTCGTCTCACTCCATGTATTTCTTTTGTACATGTTTGGTAGTTAATTTGGTACGCATCTGCATGTTATCAGGACATTCTGTTTAGGTTTGAACCGACCTAAACATTTTAAGAAATTCTGCCTTATGTTATTTCAATTTTCAGGCAACTCTATAGAATTTCAGGCAACAATGCCCTTACAATTGCCTTTTTGATGATTAAGATGGCTCTTTTTATGTCTTCTTAAGCATCAGAAGATTCCAGCAGTCAGGTTACCAAGTGGAACTAGAAGGTATTTTCAGCAATAGCCAGAGCACCGGAGGAAAATAATTCAGAGATATTTATACTTTTTAATTGTCTTCAATTGTATTTATAGATGCCTGGATTTATCAGCTATCTGCCAACTTTATTCTTTGTGCCTTCAGATAGGAGTGTTTCTAACATTGACTGGACTTGCTTTCCAGTTTTAAAGTGCTAAATGCTTTTCATTTAAACTCCAACCAAGAATTCAAGGCCGTTGTCCCCTGCAGAGTTCCACAATGACTGAAAACTTGCAGTGAGGGGCTGGTGATTTCTTTTGGTGCTGAGTGGTAGTCTCCCAGACAGCCGGTGCTAGCAGTGAGGTGTGACAATCCAGCCAACATGGACAAGGCCTTCAGCTCGTGAAGTTGAATTATGATTCATTTGAAACCAGTGTGGTTAATTTTGTGACAGCTGTCACCAGTGAATTAACTCTAAGTTTTTGAATGCTTGTTGACATTTGTCACATCAATACATAAAGGGTGAGTTTTGTATTTTAACCAATTTGTTCTTCACAGTGACAACTTTTGTGTTTTCAAAATTCCAAGAAGAGGGAGGCTTTCTGATCTAGAGGGAGTACCTTCTAATTGAGGAACACTGAATGTTGATTTAAAATGTTGGGATTAAATTGAATAGCCTTTGCCATTAGCGCTGTGCACTACATTGACATGCAAGAAAGAGAGAAGCCTGCTTGCATTTCCTGTTGTTTAACAAACTGTCCAATTAGGTCAGCAAGCCTGTGAGGGCCTTGGCTGCTATGCCTTTGGCCCTAGCCCAGAATGCAAGACAATTGTCCAGAGTACTCACATATAAGACTTAGAGCTGCCAAATGTATTGTAGAAAGGCATGTAGAGAATCTTATAACCATGTGAAAGTTATTTGCCAAAAAGGTTCTGGTCATAGAATATAAAGCAAATGTTATATCTTCGATATGAGAACCTCAGCGTGCCTTTTTAGAAGTACCAACATTTTAACATTTAAAAGCTTAGATATACTGGCCTGGTTGTTCAAGTTCAGCTCAGGAAAACTTTCAGGCCCTAAAACACAGTTGTATTGCTTAGATGTTAAAATTTTGCATTGGATTGTGCACCTTGTTGGATTGTCTCCCCAAACCTATTTTAATGCCTGTCATTTAAGAGGATTTCACCCAAGCCTAAATATTAAAGTATATGTGCACAAACTGTTAGCTGGAAATGTGTTTTCCTTCTGGTCTAATAACAGAAACAAGGTTTTAGAGACTTTTTGTGAAAGTCATTTTGCATAAAATTCATCCTTCCTGAAACAGTCAAATGCAGTGCCTTGCCAAAAAACACTTGCAGCTTCTGTAGCACTGTTGTGTATGTCTTTGAGAATCTGAAATGCAATCTTTTATGCCAGGTCACGTATGAAGACCTCTCTAGGGGAACAGAGAGGATGGGATAGTTATTGTACTTCTCTTACGCTGCTTATTGAATCATGTGTATGTAATACCTATGTGTATCTGCCTGCGCCCCTCCCCCTGACTCTGGCTCTCCCCCAGTGTAAAGCCTTGCACATAGAGGAAGGAAACTAACATTTATTGTGTCCTTCCTTATTTGCTTGCCCACAGAGCTAGATGTGCTGTATTTGATTTCATTTCATTCTGAAAATTACACTACCTGGTAGATATTCCCCATTTTCTTAGCTGAAGAAAGTGAAGCTCGGGGAGATTCCAGTAATTCACCTACAGTCCCACAGCTGGTAAGCAGCAGAGACAGCATTCGAACTACACCAGTGTGCGCGCACTGCCATGTGATAGGATGTTCCCAAGAAGTGCCTGTGAAATGTAATTGAAAGCCCCATTTTGATGATTGATAAGGCTTTCCATCTAACACCATAATCTAAAAACCTATTTAAAAACAATTCAACTGAGATTTAAAGGATAGGATTTTTTCCCCTTCTTTGTGGTAGTTTACTGATGTTTACTAAACAATGCCTGTGCCTTTTGAACACCTGAAACAATAAAAAGGGCTCTAACATTTTTCTTCTCTAAAGTGGCAAGGTGAGAAAAGCACTACTTTTAATTTTTGAAGACATGCACTTGTTATATAAAGCAAATGTTATATCTTCCATATGAGAACCTCAGCGTGCCTTTTTAGAAGTACCAACATTTTAACATTTAAAAGCTTAGATATACTGGCCTGGTTGTTCAAGTTCAATTTCTGAGTTGCTTATAGAGAGTGCCCAAAAAATGTATACACAGTTGACATCTAAACATCTCTTAAAATGTGTGTCCATTTTTTGGGCACTGCCAGTATATTTTACACAGCAAGCATCATTGCTTTTATCATTTAAACTGATACTTTAAATGGAAACATTTTTAAAAGAATGGAACATATTGTTGATGATTATGCTCAGTACCACACCTAGATGGCCTCAGCCTGACGTCCCCCAGGGGTCTGGGGTTCTGGCTAATGAGGGCAGCAGCCCCTGGCATCATCTGCTTGTAGGAAACCCACGCAGGAGACTGGCGGCGGGGCCTAGCGAGTGAAGGGGCGTGGCAGCTGGGAGGGGCGGGGGGCGCGGTCAGCGGGGAGGGAGCGTGAGGTAGGCGTGTCTTGTCAGGAAAAACGGGGGCGGGGCGAGGAGGGACGGGACGGGGCGTAGCTAGCTGGGCGCGGCAGTCTGGCGTGGCGTTTAGCGGCAACGCGCCGGGCATGGCTCCGCTGCCCTCTGCTGGCCCACAGCGTAGGACGCCACAAGAGGAGTGGTAGCCTCGCGTCCTCGCAGGTTCGCCTGGTACCCTGCGGCTCTTCGGCCCTGTCCAGCCCTCTCGGGTGGTTGTGGGGAGCCCTGGGTCTCCTTGGGCCCGCCGGCGCCCTCCGGCCCTTCCGGCTGGTGTCTTGTGGCCAAGCCGTCGGGTCGCTTGGACGCGTCCGCACCGCGGGAGGGGAGTGGAGGAAAGGAAAGGACCGTGTCGCCTTCTCTCGCGGCTCTTCCATGAGGGGCGGCCGTCGCTGCGGGACCGCCGGCCGAGCGGCGTCGGCGTCGGGGTTGGGGACAGGGTCTGGGAGGCGGCGGCACACTTGCGGGCCCAAGCCCCGTCCCCCGTAGTGCCGCTGGCTCCGGCCT